AGCTGAGGCTTTCTGGCACCCTATCCTTGCCTTTCCCCTGGAATGGCCCATGCGTGGCATTTCATGGAGGCTGCCCCACCACAGGCAGCAGCCCCACCATGCTAACTAGCTCCAGTCGGGTGCAGTTTCAGGTCTTACCCATGCTAACTAGCTCCAGTAGGCTGCAGTTTCAGGTCTTACCCAGGACTGGTCTTCAGGCTTTCTTGATTTTACTTGTCCCGCTCTGGACTCCCCTCCTGGGCTCCTAACCACCAGGCCCCCTGGCCCTGACTCCATCTCCCCTCTGAGTCCTGCATCCCTGGCCCCCAGCTCACTCTCAGACCCCTTTCCTTAATCCCTCCTCCTCATTTGGCCTAGCACCAGCCATCATCATCCTAGCCTGCATGCCCCTTGACCCCCTTTCTCTCAGCTTTGGCCACACAAAGACCTTGGCCTCTCGTAGGCCCTGGCCCCGCCTCAGGCCAGTCGAGAACTCCAGGCTCTCCCGGCTCTGACAGTTTCTGCCATGGTCTGTTTTACCCTTCAGCCCCTCCTGGGCCCTGGCCCTGCACAGGCCAGTTCAGATTCCAGGGTCAGTCCTCCAGCTGTCAGCCCTCTTGTCTCTGTGGGTCTGCCCTCTTGGGGCCCTCCAAAGTCACTCGCTCCTTATCTCTCTAGGCTTGTAGAAGAAGAAATCCACAGGCTTGCCCGGAGCCCTCCATACATCTCCCCCAATGCAGCCCCTTCCTTTTTTGGGCTTGTCCGGACCCCTCAATAGGCCCCCACACTCTGCCCCACTGACTGGATTCACCCAGACCTTCCACCAGGTCTCCCAAACGCTCGGCCTCTTTCTCTTGGACCCTCAGTAGGCCCACAGATTCTCAGCCCCTCTCCCAGGGCTCACCCAGCCTCTCACTAGGCCCCTGTGCACTCAGCCCCTCTCTCTCTGGGCTCATCCAGCTTATCAACAGGGGCACTCATCCCCCTTCTCAGGGCTCTGGACCTCCACACTGGGTCCCCAAGAACCTCCTCCATCCCCTTAGTTCTTACCCAAGTGTAACCCAGGCAGTACTCCAAGAGGTACCCTCTCTCCAACTGAAGTGATCAAAGCAGGTGCACAAGCGCTGCGGGAGATGTAGGGACTCTTCTCCCCCTATAGAGCAGAGCCAGACCACCAATGGGGACTTAACCATATACCTTTTAATGAGAGAACAATACTGGGAACATAATCAGTATAAACCAGGGGGCATAGGGGACACTACAATGCCCCGAGAGGACAGGATTCAACAAAGGTTAGACACTTACAATCATAGACATATTCATCCAGTTGACAAAAGACAGGGTTAACCACAATGTAAAACACAAATGGCAGAACAAACGATACTGGTTGGTGAAATATAAAAAGGCACAAAATACAAAATGTCAAATGACAAGGAATATAGGGCCTATGTACTTGGAGGGGGAGAAAGGGGGAAAACACAATGGCCCCTTTCCACTGCAAGAAGAATTCCTCCCTGTTAGCTCACTCACCCCAAGTCACCACAGCTAGGACTTGAACTTGGCACTCCCACATGGTAGGCAGAAGCTCTACCACTCAGCCACTAGTGCTGGTACTATGCCAACCTGCTAGTGGTCTTGACCTTCTAGGAGCCCTGGCCTCACATCAAGCTTCCTGACCTCTTATTGGAGGAGCTGGAAGCAGAGCTGGGAACCTCTCAGGTCATTGCTCAGATCCTTGCTGGAGCTGGGAAGCCTCTCCTGCTGGCTGCAGCCTCTCATAGGCAATCCTGGAGCCCAGCAGGAAGCCTCTCCTGCCGGCCACATGCCACACTGCTGAGGGTCCAACTGCTGCCTGCAGGTCCCATTCCTTCAGGCTCTTCTGGGGCAACTGCTCCTGCCCCGCTAGCTCAGCTCTTTGCCAGCTCTTTGAATCTCCTTCCTCGTGGTCCCCCGCTGGTCTCCCTTGAGTCAGCTGCGCTGCCCCTTTTATCCCCTCCAGGTGACCCAAGAGGCCAATCAGGGGACATGGAGGGTGAGAGTCTAGGGCCTGATTGGTGAAGAAAGGGAATCCCAAGTCCTCCAGTCATCTTTTACCCTTTCAAAACCCCTGGGCCAAATCATTACCAGATTGGTGAGGAAAGGGAATCCCAAGTCCTCCAATCATCTTTTGCCCTTTCAAACCCCTGGGCTAAGTTACTGCCAGCTAGCCCATCACACAAGCATCCAGATGTTATTCTCCTCACTGGCATTCAGGAGTGGCAGCCTTTCTGCTGGGTGATGTTCCTTTACCAGTTCCCAAGATGTTATTGCCAGCCCTGCTCTCAGGGTCTGGGCTTATCCCCTGTCTAAACCTAGCCCTCCTCCACTCAGGTGACTCTCTTGATCAGGCCTAGCCTCACCTGCCAGCCCCCTGGGTCAGTTGACTCACAATTAGCCCTGACCCCCATCTGCCATCAAGTGCCCTGCCACACTGTCCAACTAGGTTTGAACAGGGTTGGGAAGAGTCCCATTCATCAATCCAACCCTGACCATGACAGCCTAGCTAACGCAGTCTTCCCAGCCCTTCTGCTTAGTGCTCAGGGTTTCCAGATCTCTCTCACTCTCAGTACTGCTCTCACCATTTGCTGTTGACAGTGGTTAAGGTTACCAAGGAGAGCAGGTACAATCTTCTCCGTTTTATGAACTTTAGAAGCTGCCACTTGTCCTTTGACCATGGCAAAGGCCATCAAGGGCTGGTGCAGGATTCCCCAGGTGGCCAACTCCAGGACTCGGATTCAGTGGAGATTGATGTGGAAAGAAAGAGAGACTTAATCTAGGATGTCAGACTGTCCCATTCATAGTCTCTCCAGGACCAGTCTGGAGGGGTTTGCAGAACACGCTCTTCTTGTCAGTTGTGCTGCAGTTTAAGATGACTGATGTGTTTGGAAATTTACAAGCAACGCAGGATCCACAGGTTAGGAAATGAATCTACAGTTAATGAGAGCTGGTTTATGATGTAATTAATTGCATCACTGGGGTCCCAGCTAGTGTGGTTAATGATGTCATTAGAGCCTCTTGCACAGTGGGATTATTTCCCTGTAAATCACTCCCCTCCACTCTAGTGCTGTGTTAGAGTCAATCAGCCTTGCAGGAAGCCCCAGTCAAGGACTCATAGGAGCCTCTGAAGTATCAACCTGGGAGAGGACAAGAACTCCCCACCCACAGGGCCCTAAGAGAGTCATAGTTACTGGATGATGGTGGATGGCTGGCAGGTATTTGTACTCACCCAGCTTCAAAAATACCCTCCTTAGGAAGGGAGAAAGCAATGCAGCTTCCTCAGAATAGCAGCTTCCCAGTGCTGGGTAGTTCAAAGACTTACTGAATACCTAAGACATTTTCTATGGTTTCCCTCACTTGTAACTTCTCCCCTTGTAGGACTACCACATCCTGGTTCCTCCCAGGGCAGCCCATTAGCCAATGGAGTTAGTAGCTTTTTACAGACTTTGACTGTTTTCAACCATCAGTGTAGGCATAAGCTACTTAAGTAACTTCTCAGGGACCTTCTCCCCACTCCTCTGTTCCATCACTCTCCCTTCTTTGGTTTATCTCAAGCACTTGGGTCTCATTTCAAATTACGCTGTAAGTTTTTTGGGTGGGAGCAGTGACCTTGGATGAAATCCAGTAACAGACTTATACCACTATCAGTTAGGCACCATGACACCAGCCAGATGCTTGGTTCTGGGTTGTGGATTCCACACTAGGAGCAGGCACCTAGGCTCCTTAGACAGTGCATGGGGACAGAGCGTTATCCAAGGACAATCCAGAATGCCACACACTGAGGGGTGAACCACCTAGAACTAACCAATGGGCAACACTAAGTACTTCTGTCTATGAAAGGTTTATCTAGATGGTGTCAGCTGCCAAACCCAGGGAGGATGTGTCCGAGCACACACTGCCCATGCCCCCCAACCCACCAAGTCCACTAACTCACACCACACCCTAAAGTTCACCAATGAGGCTGCTCCAGGCTCATACCCAGCAGTCATCCTTAGGCCAACTGGCCTGACTGAATTCACTGGAGTCGGTATGTATGAGGCATGTCCTGAGCATGGATCAGAAGTTAGGCACCACTCCACCTACTCCTGGATTGAAAGAGGTCTTGGGCAGGAGGGTTGCCTATACATAGCCATTTTGAAATGTGGGACACTGAGTACACAAGACACTGCAGCATTTTAATTAGAGTAGCTCCTGAGAGCCACTCTGATTAAAATGCCCCCACCACACCCTAGAGCATGTGTATAGGCACCCCTTGAACTACTCAGACTGGGTTAGTACTGGGCTTGCACAGAAGCAGACCTGTCGGTGCTGAAGGAACTTTCAGGTGTAAAAGAGAGACTCCTTGTGGGATTAGGTAGCCACTGATTAGGCGGTGTGCTTGAATCACAAATTTTGGATAGAGATGCCTAAAGTCTACTCAAGTCCTGGTTTAAGTACAGTACCTACATTCTTTTTTGGATCTGACCTCATGTCTTTGAACATCTGTGCAGTTCCCGGCTCCATGGGGACCTGATCCAGACTGAAGCCTCAGATAATCATCATGATCATCATTACCCTCAAAAGGTCTATGTTCTGCTCTAGCCAAAATTAACATGAACCCCTGATAGGGACAACAGTGCTGTATGGCCAGCCAGGATGCACCATGCAGGGACCTGTGCATGTCTTTCTCAGACAAACCAGCCAGGTATAGGGAACCCAGCTCTGGGAATGACAGGTGTAACAGCCCCCACAGTAGGTACTGAGGTGTGCCACTCTCTCCACAGCACTAGCCATAAGAAGTGCACTCTGCATGTAACAGGAAGCTAGGATATCATGCAGAGAAAGGGATTCAAATGGTAGACAAAGATAAAGAAACAGGAGGCTGCAGGGCCAAAGGACTGGGGAGGAGCATGTTCTATTTTAGTCCTCGTGTTACCCCACTGCACTTTGTAGTGAGGCATTAAGCAAGAAAGCTGGTGTCTCGAACATGATTCCCTAATACTCACGTTTGATGCACCGGTTTGTTCCAAGAGCCACTGTCCAGCCCGAGCAGCACTGTCCCCTGCAGACATTCGGCCTAAGTAGTGACAAACAGCGGGATGAGGGAGAGAGCAATGAGGAGGTCTCTCCACAGCCAGTACCTCCCGAATCACCAACAGAACCATTCCCTGAAGAACCACAGATCTCCTTACAGCTACATATCAAATGAGATCAGAGAAGCCAGACAGGGCTGGGCTTTTTAAACTCTTGGAGGGAAAATTCCAAAGAATACTTAAGCCCTGCAAGTGTGGGAGGAGGCACAGTAGGAGCACACTCACAATGGCACCAGGGGGTGTTGTCAAGAAGGCAGGAAAGTGAGTTACTCAGTACATGGTACTCTCCCTTCAGCTCAATGCCCTAGCACAGTGCTCAGGAAAGCTGGGCCATTGGAGATGCTGCTTCTCACAGGAGAACTATTGGTGGTTCTAACAATCTGTGGTCATTAAGGATCCCAGCACACTTTTTGCTAGTGTTGAGGTGTTCATTAGGGATGATTCCAACATCAGTGATTACACTTTGCCCTCCTGTAAATGGTTGTTATGTGCCTTGCTACACATCCCAGTCTGAAAGGGATGACATCTCAGTGCATGCAGGGTGCCAGCGGGAGCAATTTCTGAAGCTGTATAATTTGTAAAGCACTTTTGATGCTTTGGGATCAAACCATTAAGACACACACATTTTAGATGGCCATAATGATGCCTCCAGGCTTAATCTGACTCTTTAACACAATGTAGTGTGGCCAGTCCCAAAGTAGGAGTTATGACCCCAAACAGGGGAGTGGCACTTATGAGCAGAGTTACAAACCCAGGGATATTCACTTATAGCACTAGATACTGCTGAAAGGCTCGCACCCAAGTACTGGGCTCAACTCTGTGTAGTTTGCAAGATGAGAGACAATTCTACCTCATTCCCTTCCCTGAGGTGGTCTAAATGTGCTTGGCAAATCCCATTCAGTGGGTTTATGAAAGAACAAAAACATTTCCCATTCTCACCTCAAATTACTGGCACCATCTAAAGATGGTTCCTGTAGGCAAATGCAGGTGCCTCCTTCAGGCCAACTGCTTTGGCCCAGAATCAAACCAATGATTCTTTACAGAATGATGCCCACAATCTTTGTCTGGATCAATCTTTCTCTCTCACGCACACACTCAGATACACACACATGCACGCACGAACACATGCACAGAGGCTCTAGGAACTAAAGTCTGCTAGCTTCTACTGGTGAGGACTAGCCCCTCTTAATGCCACAGGGTGGACAGAACTTTCTGATCCAGAGTGTGAGAGACTGGAAAGAGCTGTGGGTCTTTACCTAGCTGACACACCCTCTCTCTCAGGGAACCAGGGGCCTGGTGGGGTGAGGACAGGTCTAAAGGAAGAGGCTGGGGACAGCAGCTGGACACATATCTAAATAGTAGTGTCTGTCAAGTAATTCCAAACAGTCTGAAAGCACATCCTAACTTCCCTACAGCCCTTAAAATATCAAGAAACTTGTTTGACCATTGTGTGGATTGGCTGAATACTCCCTGGCATCAAGGTATGAGCTAAGTTTGCCACATCCAGCTCTCCTGGGTGCCTTCAGTGAGCCCATGGGCACCAAAATAAACATGTGCATTGTGACATGCTGACTGGATCCCAGGATATTGTGATACGAGGCGGTACTATTGCAAAGGTCCTGGAAGGGGTTTCAGGCGCCAGGTGTGTTCCATTCTGCTGCTGTTGCACAGCACCTGGACAGGATCTCAAGATGCGTTAATGTCCCACCTGCCAGGGCACTGAACCTCTTGGATGGGGATCAAGGACCCAGGGAAAATGTCCTGAGCAGAGGAAAAGCTTCTGTCCTTACAGGACACTCACTGTCCCAGGATAGAACCCCACCCAGCAAAAAGAGACCCTCAAGCTCCAAGCCTAGGACAAGAGTCTATAAAAAAGTGGTGTAAGGTCACGTAAGCAAGTCAGAGCCTTCTTGCCCTGCCAGACTCCATTCCATCATGGCAGGCACCTGACCAGTAGCATAACTGGAGGGCAGTGGCCCTGGTCATTGCCTTTGGGAGGAGAGTGGGGGTTCAAAAGCAGTCATTGCCACAGCAGCAGCTGATCACACTGCCACACTAGAGTCAGCACTGCCCCAGGCAGTATGCAGCTGTCCCAGGCATGGAGCTGTGCTGCCATGCCTCTGTCCCTGACACAGATGCATCACATGCCCTGGGGGCACATTTTCACACTCCAGTCAACATCACCACTGGGACCACTTCAAGCCCTGGGGCTCTGTGTAGACTCTGGAAGCTGTGATAAAGCACACAGCAAGCACCCAAGCCACCACATCTGAGCATGCTACATTACAGCCTCCAGAGTGCTTGCTTGGGACATTTCTGCTCTCAGAACGTGCCCTACATCCACATACTACGACCCACACATGTTGAAGCTGGCCTGACTCCCCTTAGAATCCTGCTAATACCACATCTACAGGAGCATCCACAGCCCATGTAGGCGATGCCTGAGAGCAAAGAATAAGTACAGAAGGGAGCAGGAGGTCAGGGCTGACTCACAAGGAATCACAGTGAGTTTGGCAGCAGAAATGGGGCCAGGGAAGACATGTTTGGAAGTGTAGGGGGTAAGGCACAGTCACCAGGTGCTTTCTGCCAACCCCCAGCCCAGCACCCCAGTCTCCCCACACTGCTGGAGATGGGCTCAATGCCTGCACCAACACCCTTCTGCCCCTGCCACCTGTTGTGGCAAGCCCATTGGCACAGCCCCACGCATCTCTGGCTCACGGCCTCCCTTAGCAGAAGGGCAAAGCTCAGTGCTACTAACTCTCCAGCCTTCTATTCCATCCCAGGGGAAGGGGGCTATCCTCCAATTAGTTGCCTGCCCACATCTGCCTACCTCCTGGGGAATGGTGGCCAATCAGGGTGGATGTAGGAAGCAGGTGAAGAGCCTAGAAGGAGCAGAGGTGAGGCTGTGATGAGATTGATTTTCAGGTTGGGGGCAAAATTAAGTGCTGGCCAAGGGTCAGGCAGATGTGGGGTCAGAGCTCTTGCAGTGGGGACCAACCAAAATCACCTCTCAGGCAAGAGGGAGACAGGCAATGCTAATTGTCCCTCCCATACACACTCTGGAGTGCCAGGGAGAGCTGAAAGAACCACGCATGGATCAAAGAATGCATGATAATCTTTCAAACAAAACATCTCGAGATGTTGGCTGCCTGGCATATGAGCTTTAAATTCCTCAGGTAGGCAGTCCTAGATACAAATCCTTTGCACTTTACAGACAGTCATGCACTCACTTCAAACCACAGGTCAGTAGCCTTATCAATACATTACAGGTAAAGAAAATGAGACACAGAGGGAAAGCCCTTGCCAAAAATAGCACAGAAAGTTGGGGGTGCAATATATTTGGGGACAGTCTCCCAAGGCCCAATCTAGGACCTACTTCATTAGGCCCTGGCACTGCTTTTGGCAAAGAATGTGTCATTACTATTTGTGCAGACAGTAAAATGCTAGCAGTCAAGGGTTATTCTTATCCTAGACCCTATGGTCCATGCTACATGTTAGGATCTGTAGTCCAGTCATGTCATGCCTCGTAAAACTTCACTGGCCTTCACTCAAAACCTTTGGGACAAGTGAAACACTGGTGCTGGGGCTCTGCTCTTGAGAGGAAGGGAAGGAACTAGCACATACAGGAGGAAGGCTCCATGGCACGGATGCAGGCAGGGATGCAGACACTAGCTGAGCAAGAGGCTCCTGCTTCTTTTGCCATTTCTCCAAGATTAGATGTGATGAAGAGAATCTCCAAGATTGGAAATACACCTTGAAGGAGCTTCCAGTGCCACTATGAGTAGCAGTGAGGGCCACATGAAGAATGGAGCAAATGCTGCCCTCACTTGCCATAAGGCAGAGCGCTAATAGGCAGTCAGGTATGCTGGAGCCTTAGGAAATTGGAGAATCAGGTGATGGGGAGCTGTGGAGCTGGGTAAAGCAGTGGTTGATTTTTCATTGTGCAGGACCCAGCCCTGAGAGCATCTGGTTATGGTTAGAGTATTTACTTGACATTTGCATGGCTTGAACACCATGTGGTTTTTGTTGCCTTATGAAGAATTCACAGCAAATCCCTGCAGGTTTAAGAAGCACAGCATGTTTACAGCTCAGAGGGATGGTGCCTGAGGCAGTGGCTGCTTCCTGCAGCCCCCAGCTGCCCCCCCCTCGCCACTGCCACTCATGCTGTCGCTGATGCTTCTTAGCAAACATGCTGCTCTGAGGTGAGCCTGCTGACTGCTCCCAGCTCCTCTGGCATTTCCCTGCTTCATGCCTTACTCCAAGGAGCTTGAGCACTGACACTAGCTGGCCCTGGGGTTCCCAGGCTGAGGATAACCTGCAGGTGTAAGAGTCCTGTCACTGTGGGTGAGGCACCAGTCCTGAGTGACAAGCGCCTCTGAGCTGAGGCAAAGCAGCAGGTTAGTAGCAGCTGTGTCCCTATGAGGCTGTGTGTGGCACTGAGACCCCAGGGACCTATGAATAACATGAACTAGAATCAAACATGTAACCTTTGTAACAGACACCCACATGGTACTTCACAGAGGTGCCCAATCACCCTCACCCTTGAAACCAAAGAGTATAAGCTCCCTTTCCCTCTGGCCTCCAGACTTGAGAGTCCTGCCCTGCACCTCATGTCCTCCAGTCTGCAGAGCCTGGCTAGGGATAAGCCTGGATCAACAGGCCTCTGAACCCAATAGCCAGGTATGCTGCTGTATGAAGACAAAAGCAAAACTAGAAGGCTACCTCATACCACCCTCCCTCTTAGATGCCAGATGCTAGCAGCCTGGTATTAGCCATATATAGTTCATGCACCCTGGAAAGGAGAAACAAAGTAGGAGGCTATTTCCTTAGCAGAACAGACACTGGTATACAGAAAGCAGGAGAGTCCTATCCTTCCCCTCCTCCTTCTCCTCTTCCTCCTTCTCCTCCTCACTGAGCAGCCACAAAGGAGTCATGCCTTGGGGACAGTCAGGGAATGGTGCTGTCTACTGCATGCATGGTTAGC